TATCACAAATCGAGTAGTGCCTGAAATTGCAAAAAATTGTGCAGGACCTTATTTTCGTATCGGTGCAACACCGCAAAGTCGGATTTGCACCTATTTGAACGGTTCCGCTGCCGACAATAGGGTTTGACTTGTCATGCGATTTGTAAGTTTTAAATCGCATGACAAGTCACACCGGTGTGAATGGGGGCTAAATCTGTGTCTGTAGTGCATGTTCAAAGCTTAATACCATAAATAATAACTTGTTATTAGATTTTTATTCCAGGAGTATGAGTTTAGCAATCCTAGAGAAATGCTTAAATAATTCATTACAATGTAACAAAACCCATTAGATTTTAATTGACTAAAAATGTACTAGAGCAGGGGTCTCCAAACTTTCTAAACAAAGGGCCAGTTTACTGGCTTTCAGACTTTAGGGGAGCCAGACTGTGGCCATTGGAATTAGAAATTGTTCTGCTTCATTGGGAGTAAACAATGCATATTTGGCATTAGGGGAGGAATAGGCGACCTATTCTTGGTGTAAGTTGGAGAAATAGTGCCCCATCATTGGTGTCAGTGGGAGGAATAGTGCCCCATTGTTGGTGTCAGTGGGAGGAATAGTGCCCCATTGTTGGTGTCAGTGGGAGGAATAGTGCCCCATTGTTGGTGTCAGTGGGAGGAATAGTGCCGCATCGATGGTGTTAGTGGGAAGAATAGTGCCCCATCGTTGGTGTCAGTGGAAGGAGGAATAGTGCCCCATCGTTGGTGTCAGTGGAAGGAATAGTGTCCCATCGTTGGTGTTAGTGGGAGGAATAGTGCCCCATGGTTTGTTTCAGTGAGCAGAATAGTGCCTAATTGTTGGTGTGAATGGAAGGAATAGTGCCCGTCGTTGGTGTCAGTGGAAGTAATAGTGTCCCATCGTTGGTGTTAGTGGGAGGAATAGTGCCCCATTGTTGGTGTCAGTGGGAGGAATAGTGCCCCATCGTTGGTGTCAGAGGAAGGAATAGTGCCCCATCGTTGGTGTCAGTGGAAGGAATAGTGTCCCATCGTTGGTGTTAGTGGGAGGGGAGGAATAGTGCCCCATGGTTTGTTTCAGTGAGCAGAATAGTGCCCAATTGTTGGTGTGAATGGAAGGAATAGTGCCCCATCATTGGTGTTAGTGGCAGGAATATTGCCCCATTGTTGGTGTCAGTGGGAGGAATAGTGCCCCATCGTTGGTGTCAGTGGGAGGAATAGTGCCCCATCTCTTTGGTTGGTGTCAGTGGGAGGAATAGTGCCCCATCGTTGGTGTCAGTGGGAGGAATAGTGCCCCATCTTTGGTGTCAGTGGGAGGAATAGTGCCCCATCGTTGGTGTCAGTGGAAGGAATAGTGCCCCATCGTTGGTGTCAGTGGAAGGAACAGTGTCCCATCGTTGGTGTCAGTGGGAGGAATAGTACCCCATGGTTTGTTTCAGTGAGAGGAATAGTGCCCAATTGTTGGTGTGAATGGAAGGAATAGTGTCTCATCATTGGTGTCAATGGGAGAAATACTGACTGTTGTTGATGTCAGTAGCAGAAATTATGCCCCTTTGTTGTCAGTGGGAGAAAAAGTGCCATAAGGGCAAGCAGCATCCAGCCCCCAGGCCATAGTTTGGAGACCACTGTATTAGAGATTTTAGTCGACTAAAATATGACTAAAACTATTCAGATGACTAAAATCAAAATGGCATTTTAGTCAAAAGACTAAAATACAACTAAAACTAAAATTGCATGTTAGTTAAAAGATTATGACTAAAACTAAATTGAAATTTAATGTCAAAATTAACACTGCTGCTCACTCCGGTGGTGCATTCCCCACTCTTCACTGCTCTGCAAATGGCGGGTCGACAAGCCCAGGGCATGATCTATCAGTCACCTGGCCATGATGGACAAGTAGATCCTGATTGACGGGTTGCCGACCCCGAACTTAAAGATCCTATGATAAAACAAAATATCCTGCTTTAGGACCCACCTTATTATCGGGACATTTGATTATATTTCTACTGCTCCTGTTTTGATAGACAGTTTACAAGATTGGAACAAGTAGATACCATCTGGATCTTCTATTAGTCTGATTGCAAGAGAACAATTGATTAACAGTGATCAGCACCCATAGTCAGCACACATGGGAAAGCCTGAAAAAAATTAGTTTGAAGTAGAGGGTGCAAGAAACACCATATTATATAATATATACTTATAACACACACACATACATACATACATACATATATATATATATATATATATAAATAAAACACCATAAACACGGAAAATAGAATTCTAAAAAAGTAACATATCAGAAGGTGAATAAAGAGATGACACAGTAGCAGATAAAATGATCTTTACTGAAATAGTTATGTCAGTTAGAAATCTGTAGATTTGACCATTTCCATTTATATAAGGCAATGATGTATTTACAGCATTGTTTTACAGTAATGTTGTTTAGAAATCACCGGTTACCTTGAACATCACAGCAGCAAAGATATCAGTGGACTTCAAGTGTAAAAATGTAATGAAAGGAAAGTGGGGGCCACCAATCAGATTCCAACTATGCAGATTATAGCATTAAAAAATAAAGCTGGTTTGGCTGCTATTTGTGTCACCTTTTACTTTTCATTGTCCCAGGTTTTTAAACAAGATATAAAATTTATTGAATCAAGTAAAATACTGGGGATTTGACATGATGGATTTCCACATGGACATCAAAAATATACATTGTATTCACTTACATGCAGGGGCGGACTGACAACTCATGGGGCCCCCGGGCAATAGGGGATCATGGGGACCCTGTGTCCTTGCCCAAACAAAAAAGCCTATGAAAAAGGTACCAGGGGCATCTCATGGGGCCCCCTACTGACCCCGGGCCCTCGGGCAGTGCCTGAGTTTCCAAGTGGTCAGTCCGCCCCTGCTTACATGTGATTGTATGGAAGTTACAGGCGGTGTTGCATCAGTGGAACAGATACAAAAAAAGAAAAGTTTTTTATGGTGGTCAGTATTACCATAGCTGCTTGCTTACAATACATGGTGTCCTATACGACTTGTATTGCTTGTGGAACCAAAGTCTTGAAAGACATAGTAACAGAGAGTTTAGTCTGAACTATAAAATGAAGCATGAACAAAGGCAAAAGGATTGGTTTTATAGGACTGCAGAAGTGCACTTGATCATCTTGTTATACCATGTTAATAATAAATAAAGTGAGTTTCACGTTTGTGATCCTTCAAAAGGGTATTAATATCTTTGTACAGTCTCTGCTCTATTAAAACTGAGTACAAGGCAAACGGCTGAATACACAATTGCACTATGCTGTAAATAAGTGAACTGTTCTTGCAAAAAAATGTATAGTATCTGTTCAGCCACTCTTGCATTGAAGAGAAAGTAGAAGCAAGATGCTGGGCACAAATTTCCAGATGATAAAAAAAAGACTTGGGTCTTGAAGGATTGGGTTTGGCAAGCCAAATGAGGGGTCTCTTGGAAAACAGGGATTACCCAAATAGAGAAATCCACATGTAATTGAGCCAATAAGGGCACCAAACGTCCAAAGTCTATTAATAATAGCAAAAAAGCTAAAAGCATCCAACGTATTTTGGAGGCCAGAAAATCCGCTTTTATCTGAACTATAGATAAGAATGCAAATACTTTTAAATACAACTTATAAACAAGAAATGGGTTACTACTGTTTCTCTTTTATCAACTTTTTTAATGTGTTATTTTAATACTTTTAATACTTTAATTCTCATCTACATCCCTGATGAAGGGGGATTTTCACTTTCTTGCTGTCATTTGGCAAAATATTTAAGACTTTGGGCTCTGAAAACATTTGTTTATCATGTTTATTAGCTGGATTACCATACTTTTTGTAAGCAAGGCACCCCTGCCAGACAGCACAGTTAGACTGCGGACCTCTTTGCAGACTGCATTGCAGTTGAAGCCAATTTGAAGTTTAATTTTTAAGTCTGTACGTAAGTAAAGTGTGCAGAGAAATAGTGTTATATACATATAAACATCTCCAGTGGCAGTAGGAAACTTCCCAAACTGCTACTTTTTGGGTAGAAGCAGTAGTCTCTCTGCAGCAGTCCAACACCCTCCTACAGCTCTGCAATCAGGAAAGCCCACACTCCTTGCTGATTGCAGAGTTGTAGGTCTTCAAGGGTCATGTCAAACCATTGCTTCCACAAAGAGAGCAGTAGTCCTTCTCTGTTACCTCCTCCCCAGTAACACAGTTTTCTACTGTAAGTTGAGCTATTTTAAAGTGATATCAAACCCTCAATTATTTTGGCAATTTCAACAGCTAATTTAATACCTTATGCAGCTTCTTCATCTTTAAACTTTGCCTTTTTTAAGCTGGTGCCATGATCACTACGTAACTTTTCCTGTTTTAGGATGTCTCCTTTCCCTTGCAAAGTCTTCTGAATCACCCTTCCATGCCTGCTCCTGGCCAGGACTAGAGTTGTGTCTCTCTACGCTGTGTGCCTCAACACAAACACACAGCCCTGTAACCTTTGATAGCAAGATACTCCCTTGCTTCTCCTAGCTAGTAGAATGAAAGCTGCTGGAGACTGCACTGTTTCCTGTTATCTCTTCTCTGTAAAGTACCAGAAATTCAGGGAAGCAATGTTGAGAGAAAGCATATTTGCAAGGCTAGATTCACAGTAGTAGGCAAAGCCATAGTGTTCCGTTGGGCTTAGAGAGCTGACCCTCCCTCTCCCAGTCCTAAAGATTGATGCTAGTCATACATACATTTAATGGTTTCTGAATTAATGAACGATTGGATGATTTTTTGTTTGCATTTGCCTGGAGTTCCATTTGCAGGGAATACCATTTGCCACATTAACAATCACAAGGCTCTGCTATGATCCATTATTTTATTGTACAACAAATAAGTTAATTGATTGGTTAATAGAAAGAACAGGTTGTTCTAAGCTGAGCATTGCAGGGTTCTCCAATGGTACATGGTAAAACAAACGGTTGATCTGTAATTTGGCTCCAATAAAGAGATGTCTCTAAGTTATTTGTTTGTCTGTTCTGATTTGTATTTTTGATATGCTTCCAGTATTTCTGTAATAATGACTGGATCCTCCAGGGTGGTTATATCTCCAAGATCCTCAGTGTAGCCAGTGGCGATCTTCCTCAGTACACGCCGCATGATTTTCCCTGATCGAGTTTTGGGAAGGCGTTTCACCATCTAAGAAAAAAAGATGACATTACAAGTCTATAGTATTGCTGATTAGGTAAAAGTAAGTCTCACATTGTTTGCTGACATTTAATCCAGGCTTTTTGCAGAAAACAGGTCACCAGATAAAAGCAGCTTTCATTTGGTTGGTGATTACTCTAGATTTTGTAGGCTTTATCTTTTCGTAAAAAACGTGAAATGTTTTGTACCATTGCCTAGGAGCAGGCAAAATGTCCTATGTGTTCATTTAACTGTAACCAAATCATTCTTGAAGTGGTCCAGCATTTCTCCAACCTGGACACAATTATCTAGAAGCCATATACTCCGCTTTAACACAACCTCAGTTTCATCGGTCACCAGAAATGTGGAGTGATGAGGACCCAGTGGTGCAGGGACTCACATGATCAGAGGTATCAGGCTTATGGAGATTGCTGAGGCTTGTTGGCTATTACTGAGTACATAAGACAAATTAAGAAATGGTCTTACAACTGTGGAAAACACAGAAAATGAGAGGTGTTCAAGGTGGATTTAAAACGGCGTTCCACTCACTCTGTAAAAAAATAAAAGTCAGCAGCTACAAAAACTGTAGCTTCTGACTATTAAAATCAGCCACTCACCTGTCCCATGATCCCGCGGTCTCCCCGCCGCAGCCTGTTTCACCGGCCGTCCTGTATTCCAGGCACTGGCATCTTCAGTGTGGGCACCCGGATGTGACAGCTTGCAGCTGCACAGCCAAGTACCCACTGCGCATGCGCGCGTAGAGAACTGTGCTTCCTGAATGGCCCCATCGTCTTCTGGGACCTGTCACGTGTCCCACAAGACTACATGGAGGGAGGGTAGGAGGACAACTTCTGCTTCCGATTACCTAGGCGATCGCAGTGGAAGTGGGAGTGGGTACCTGTCAATTTCGGGTACCCGCTGCCCAAAGGTGCCAATCCTTAATGGGGAATGGGGGACCAATCTTTAAAGTGGAACTTCCCCTTTAGGGTGGAACTCCATTTTAAATAAAAGATTTAGCTCAACCAAGCTTTTTAGAAGAAATGGCTTTTTGAACACTTTTATTATTTTGAATGTAACAAGCTTCAGCTTAACTAGAAGAGAGAATGAGAGGTGCAGCGTGATATAGGAAGCAAAGGAACTGGGTATCAAAGCAAAACATTTAATTGCAGCTTCGGAATGAAATTTTGTTCCACATGCGCACAATGTACCTGTACTTGTACAGACAGTGAAAGGCACACTGTGATATATGAAGCAAAGGACAAAAGGAAGAGCCACTTGGAAGTCCATCCTGAATTTTGGGGAAAGGGCGATTGAGTTTCAAGGCCAAACTTGTTGAGGCCAACAAAGCAACAGTATTGTTTTAATTGAAACTACAGTTGACGAAGTGTAAAGTGTTTGGAGCCAAATGTAGACCTGTACACTCCAAAGAACTTTATTTGCGGCTAAGCAGCCTACATTTGCCGATATTAGCTTTTACTAGCCCTCAAACACATAATTTGTTCTAAGGTGGCTAAATGGTTGATATGAGCCTGTCTACAAATAATTGAGAGGGGAAAATAAGAAAAGATAAGGATAAAATAGGATACACAAGGATAAAAGAGGAATAATGTGTTCTAAGAAGGCTACGAATGTATTTGGTTGAAGGGATAATTGATTCTTTAGTTCCTTCTCACCATAACCTGTATGGTTGTACTGTCTCGTTGTGTCCCCATTCCTAAAGGCTCTCATTTATCTAGGTCATGGTATAGCTAGTAGTAGTAAGTCAAATTCCGCCAGACGTGTTCTGTAATGTTGAAGATGTTTCATAGCTTAAAGTGTTACTAACCAAGGACATTCACTGTATCTGGTCTCCCACAGTACACAGAACATATAAATGCAATTATTTTAGTAAATATAAACTGATAAATAGCTTTTCTCATCAGCAGTTAGAGCAGTCTTGTGACTTCTATCAGTGTCCAGCAAAGCACTAGTTAAAGCTTGTAGGAGGATGCAGGAGCCCTGACCTCTGTCTGAAGAGTGCTGATTGACCCTGTGCTGATCACATGTACTTTCCCAACAAAAAAACAAACAACTCTCTCTTGCAATACACACCAAACTGTGCAGCTTTCCCCCTAGCCTATGTTCCATCAGGAGATATTTAGGAGACACTGGAAGAAGGGCAGGATCAGAGAAGAGAGGATTAAACATCCTTTTTACACAATGTGGAGGATTAACCCCTTAGGTTCCACAGTGAGTATAACAAGCATGGTTTACTGCATATACAGACAGATTTTACTGTTGTGGGTTTAGTAATACTTCAAGTCGCTTCTCCAATTTATTCAACATTACAGAACAAGTCCACCTAAATGTGACTAACTACCAGCTATACCAAAGTTATCATTAAAAAGATACAGAAACATTGAAGTATTTAGAATACATAAGACATACTTACCAGAATATGGTCGGGAACAGCATATTTTGCTATTTTTGTGGCTACTATCGCTTTAAGGTCCTCTTTAATATCTTTTTCTGGCTCTTTTACATCATCTTTTAATACAACAAAGGCAAATGCAGCTATGGAACAGATAAGAGAAATCAAATAAATAAGAATGAACAAAACCAATTACTGTAAAGCAATTACACAAAAGAAGGTAAGCATTAGCATATACAGTTTATCATAATATACAGTTGACACTACCCTATTACAGAGGTTATTCTAAAGCAAGTAAAAAATATAATAGTGGTACTCAGGGAATCAGACTGACAAGGGGGAATAATACTAGCCATTGACCCAGTGTCCATTAATAAAAAAACACAGTCCATAGTCCTTATAGATCAGGTATTTGTTCTTAGGACCACTCAAGGAGAAAGCAGCTGGCTTGTCAGAGTAGAAGCTCTGCTGTAAGGCAAGAAGGAAGTAGCGCTTTCTGAGTGTAGTTAAAAATAAGTTTAATAAAAGATATGTAGCAACTCACAAGAGAAGCTTGTCTGACTGCACATTTCAATAAGGCCATCTTGGAATACTGTACAATGGATAGTATTTGCAGTATGGCCCAGTATTTACACGATAGAATGGACCTCTAGGTCCACATTTCTTCCCCCAAGGGGCCATGGTGTCCAAGACGTAGATCGAATACGTTTCCCTCCTGCAGAGACCTTGGATGTGCTCTGCCCTTGGTTAAACTCTAAAAAAGGTCACAATGTGCATGGCCACATCACGGCCTGAGGAATGAGCACACATGCTCCAAACACGTGTCGACCACAAGCCTCTTCTTCACTTCCAGTTCCAGTGACATCACTGCTCTCAGCAATGGGAACCCAGCCGTCTCGGAGCATTAGTTTCTTCAGTGCAACTGTGCAGCTTCTGAGACATATCGCCTCCAGCAATCCAGATCATATGTGGCATAGAAGATGGCCTTATTGTGATGTGCAGTCTGACATGCTTCTCTTGTGAGTTGTTACATATCTTTTATTAAACTTGTTTTTAACAAATTACTACACTCAGAGAGCACTTTTGTATTCTTCTTTCTATGCTTAAGCAAGTAACCTTTGCTTGTCATTGGACCCCAAGTAGCAAACCAAAAAATTGTATATGCAAACTATATAATATTCACACAGCTAAACAGCAGCCCTTGCAATGAGGTTATTCCATTTCAGGCACACATACCTTGCTCTCACAAACTGAAGGTGACTGATAATAAAACAAAGTTAAAGTTTACATCGATTGAATGGCTGCTGATATGTTGTAACTTCCACTAGAACCTAGAATACTTTCCATGCCACTTCTTTATAGGCCCATGTAAAGGCTTTAAAGGGGAGGTCCTCAAGGGAGTCTTTCTGGGGTTTGTCACACTAGCTTATCTTCTCTGTTATTCTATCAAATTTATTTCTAATATGGATTCAACAATTTAAAACAGTTAAAAATTCATTTTGTTCAGAATAAATGTCTCTTTTATGGCAAAATGGTGTAGTCCCTAAGTCATAGGTGGCACTGCAATAGAAATGGCCTATAAGGCAGAGGTCTGAAAACCTAATTCTTTAAGGTGGATAAAGTCTAATGAAGCCAACAGGTTTAAGAGAGCTAATGACAGTATTTACATATTCTTAACAAGTAGTAAAGGCACTTTAAACAGGCCATTATTCACCTCTGTTAATGGCATTGTGGAGAAATTAGTCTTCACATTTCACAATAGAGATACTGCAACCCAATTTTAGATTCTTTGCTGTGATCTTTGAGAATTAATTACTTCCTGTTAGAAGCAACTAGAAGGGTCAGGGATGGCTTATTTCACTGCTGGTTAAGAATATATAAATAATTTAAGTCTATAGTCTTAAGTCATGCCTTGACCTTTCACTGGAATTGCTGAATTTCATAATATACCAAATTATATTATTCCAGAATGAAACCAAGCTAAAAGATCCTTTTCTAAGTAAAAGCCTGCCATGTGTTATTCATTCAAACAAGTATGACTGTGCTAAAGTCTAATGACAGGGCATAGTAAGCTGGGCAGATCGAGGAGCAGGATGCTCCAGCAGGGGGCTGGCTAGACCAATTAATTGTTTCTCTTAAAAGCTACCAGCCAGCAGACTTATGGGTCACCCACAGACATGATATCTTAACTGCTGTTTTCTCATGTTCATGGATAATATAAAGCAGTTATCAAAATTATTTTTAAAGCTCCAGGGGACCAAGTGCAAATTGTGCTTGATCAAGTTCAAATCTGTGAAGAGTTTATGTCAGGTTTATGTCAGGGCAGGAGCTGAGGAACGGACAGGCAGGCCTAACAATGTAACGCACTGGCTGCCCTTCACCATGGCCCCTGATGGTGGGGATGGACTTGACGCAGCCAGGAACCAGGTTGCGGCCCCTGAGACACCTCAGTTGCGGTAATGGCCGCCGCCAATGGCGTGTAGCTGGTGGAAAAGACAAAAGAGTAGTCAGGCAGGCCGGGTCGACAACAACGGGACAAAACGGTACAGGACAGCAGACGAGAATCACAGGTCACTAGCCGGGTTCAGCAACAGAGGGTCAGATCAAAGGAGAACACAAAGAATAGTCGAGTCACAAGCCGAGTCAGATTCCAGGAGAGTCACGAGAGTCAGAACAGAGTAATAGCGACACAAAGACACAAGTGCAAAGAGCATGTGCGGACCACAGGCTTATATGTCATCAGCCACACCCCTCTGGGGGATGGACCTCAGATACCTGAAGGCATAAAGGATTCCCACCATGCTCAGCAGAAATCCAAGATGGACGCCAGCACATGGAGTAACATAACCTCAGGGAAAAGGTAGGACCTTGACAGTTTTTCATAAATAATATGCCATTTTATTTCTGTCAGCGCAGGCTGTAGCTCCACTCCAGGCTGAAGCCCAATTTATGGGTGTTCCTATCAGATAGTTACAGCCAGAACTGGAGCCATCACCCCATCTTCTATTTGCAGCCCTGTACCTCCTCTGCCACCTTCTCTGGGCATACCAATGCAAGAAGGAGAGCCACATCATCCCCTCTCTCTCTTCCTCTGCAAGCTGCCAGATATTCATGTAATTGTGCAGCCTTGTGCCTCTTCTGATTATCATCTTTTACATAAACACAAACTCACAACACAAGCTGACAATAGTTACTCCATTCTCTCTGGCACAGAAGGCATAGACCTGCAGATGTCCTGTCTTACAGCTTTCAGAAGAGGAGAGAGTAGGGATTTTTGTGGGCTCTGTGTCAGAGGCGTAGCCAGGATATTTTGCGCCCAGAGATGAACGGCCACCTCATGACACCCCCCCACTTCATATGGTCCCTGTAGACACCCCCCCATCCCAACCACATTGCCCCCCCCCCCCTTCATCCATGGCAGTACTCACCCGGCTCGGCTCTCCCCTTGTCTCCTCTGGCACATGCCTGGCTCACTGCCCTCCTCTCCGCTCCTCTCCCGGCCCACTCCTCTCTGCTCTCATAACTCACTGTGGATGGCAGACGTATAAGATGACACATCTGCTGCAGCCTCTGCAGTGATCTTGTGACCTCATTTTGGCGCCCCTGTACCTTGGCGCCCGGGTACATATGTACCCCCCTGCCCCCCCCCCCCCAGCTATGCCTCTGCTCTGTGTGCAACCCCATCACAGATTTAAAAAGAATCAAGTATTAGGTGGTGGGGGGGTGTGTGTGTGTGTTGTATCTGTGTGTGTGGGGGGGTTCTAAATTGTCATCTGCCTGCACATGCGCATACAGCACTTCTCCCCAAGTGCAAAAATGGTGTGTTCAAGGAGAAGTGTTGCATGGGTAAGCGCTGATGTAGAAGCCCTCTGCGTTTACCTGAGCATGACACCATACAACCATCTATTTGCATTGGCAGCTATACATGGCACATGCTGTGGATTTTGAGCCTCAGAACACAGGAGCTAGTAAGCGTCCATATGCATGAGGCCTAACTTTACCTTGAATTTCCTGATCTGCATGCCTATTCCAGGCAAGTGACTCAAAAATAGTGGATGTACATCAGCATTACAACCAGGCAACTAGCAATATCCAAAGTTAGTTAGCATAATTAGCCTTTAAATTCCTTGTATGACTTTTTTACTTTTAAATGGCATGGTGGCATACAAGATCACAATATGTGGAAATCAGGATGGCTGTCTGCACTGCTTACATCTTGCTATAGCCATTTGGTTTTCCTACAGTGAAGATCAATATAACAGAAGTTAAAAATAAAATATCGCAATTATGGTCTAGGTAGGTCGCTGGCATTAAATTGACATTTAAACACGACCAGTGTCTTAGAAAAATTATGATTTATATTTTAATAGCACAATCCCTTTAAAATATTACAAGGGTGATTGAGATTGTAATTTTAAAGTGTTGTCAATATGTTTAGATGATTGAAAGCAATTCTCACTTTTATTGTTACCATCTCTTCCAGATTACTTTCTAATCACACAATTAAAAAGGTGACTATGAGGCAACGAATGCCAAGTTCAACAGACGTTCTGTGAATTCTGATTACAACATGGCTGGCCTCCAAGAGTCAGATTCAGGTGGCCTAACTGAAAAAGTAATGAAACTGTTGCTGGAAGATGGTCAATATGATAACAGTTTTATTAACAGTCCTTCAACAGACTTTAGCACAGTTTTACTATACTTGTTTGAATGAAAAATGGATTGAAGATATTGTACTTTAAAATGGAGCTCATAAATTAGTTTTATTTTGCATTCATTTAATTTTTCAGGTATATTTTAAAATTCAGCAGATCTTGTGAAAATGCAATGTCACACATCTTACAATGCACATTTTAGGCTTTAGGGTCAGCCCTGGTTCACACTGATGTGTTGCTGAATTCGCAGTGGTTTCGGTGCGAATTCTGCATCGTATCAGAATCGCACCCTGTACATGCGAACCGCTGCGGGTGTGTATGTTAAGTTACCAAATCCCCGAAAGCAGTCTGCAAAACGCGATGCGATGTGCAGAATCGGATTGCATAGGTGTGAATACCCATGCAATCCAATTCTAGTGCAGACCAAAAAAGGGTCCTGCACATTTTTGGTGCGGGTGCGGTGCAATTAGAGCCATACAAAATGTATG